AACACTAGAAAGAAAAGAAAAAATGGGCACAGTCGGAGCCGCCCACAACGTGAACGTCTTAGGGTCGGGTGGGACCACCGTTGTCCTTGGCCACGGGTTCGGGACAGACCAGTCGGTGTGGAAGCACCTTGTCCCGCACCTGGTGGACGAGTACAGGGTTTTGTTGTACGATAATATGGGCGCCGGCACAACAAACCCGGACTATTTTGATTTCGAACGTTATTCGACTTTGGAAGGGTATGCGTATGACTTGATCGCCATTTTAGAGGAATTCCAAGTCGATAAGTGCATATATGTTGGCCATTCTCTCTCGTCCATGGTTGCAGCTATAGCCTCGATTTTTAGGCCGGATTTGTTTCATAAGCTTATCATGATCTCGGCTACCCCAAGGTATGTGTACGTATGTGTGTGTGTGTGTGTGTGTGTGTGTGTGTGTGTGTGTGTTTTAAGTTATGGGAAATATCAGTTCGGAGCATCTTGAATGACAAAATGTTAATTGTAAGACTTTTGACACGAAGAAAGGAAATTAATCAACTGTGTCCGTAATGATTGAGTTAGATTTAGAGTTTGAGGTATTATAATAAGTGTGAAAATTAAATTACATGAGCCTATATATTATAATATTTACACATTCATTACATTACATATACCTATACATATAAGTAAATGTACATTAAAGTTTATAGATGAGTTTTAGGTGGGAAAAATACAGTTTTATGATACATAAGGTTTGTATTTTTTTTATTTATTTACTTATTTATTGGCGTCCTCAATTTATTCAATTTAGTTAAATTTAGTATTTTGCTTTAAGTACATTTTATTGATTGATTGTTGGCCGTAAAATGTGATTAAAAAAATAAATAAAATAAAAAATTAAAAAAAAAAAATCATAGGCCAATTGTTGGAGATCCACAGCTCGGACCATCTAGCGAAGGATACTGTTGGATTCATTGGTTAGACTTGATTTTCCAAATATATGAATTTTTGTTAATAAAAGACAGTAAGTTGAAAAGTAGCAATTGAATGTAACTAATGGAAAATTTTATCGTGACATTATTTAAGTCCTGAATCGATAAATATTTTAACATTCGATGAGATGTATGATTTGTTACGAATTTAACCCTTTAATTTGGATTAAATCGTGTTTTATTAGGATGATGAACACGGACAACTACTTTGGAGGGTTCGAGCAGGAAGAGCTCAACCAGCTGCAAGCCGCCATGGAGGAAAACTATGCGTCGCTGGTTTCAGGCTTTGCACCGCTAATGTTGGGCTGCGACTTGGACTCGCCCGTCATGCAGGAGTTCAGTCGGACCCTCTTCAGCATCCGACCCGACATTGCCGTAAACGTGGTCCGCACGATCCACAATCTCGACTTGAGGCCCTACCTCGGCCATGTCACTGTACCCTGCCACATCATCCAAAGCTCCAAGGACATTGCCGTGCCAGTGGTGGTTGCCGAGTACCTCCATCAAAACCTTGGTGGCAAGTCGGTGGTCGAGCTGATGCCCACCGAGGGCCACATTCCCCACCTCAGCTCGCCAGAGGTCACGATTCCCGTGATTCTCCGCCATATAAAATACGATATCGTGGATAACTGAAATGATTCGTATATTTTTAGTTTAGATCTTGAGTTTTTAGGTGCCCATTCTCCTATGGAAGTACTCCGTTTTCTTTTTTCTTACAAACCTCTCTTGAAAAAATCTGCAATTCAATGGTAATTGGAGAGCTCG